CAGGCAGGGCAGCACCGCCGCCATCCCCGCGCGGTCAGGGCGCGACTGCGCTGTGGACTCTGCTCACCTTAATGTTGTGGAAGAGCGAGCGGGAGCAACGGGCGGCCGGGAGGCGGGCGGACTCCGCGCCCTGGGACGCGCCGGAGCCGGCCAGCAGCCCCATGGTGGCGGAGAGCTGCGAGTGCCGGCGGGCGTCGCTGAGCCCGGGCCTGGGTGTCCGGAGCGGCGAGCGCGCGGCGGCGGCGGCCGGAGGAGGACCGAGGAGCGCGGCGCGCGGACTGAGCCGACGAGCGCCGAGAAGTTTTATAAGCGCTGCTGCTGCTGCCGGCGCCGATGATGAAACGCCCCTTCCCTCCTCCCTCTCTTCCTGGAGCCCCCGCCCCGGCGCTGCCGCCCCCATCAGACAGGTGTGACGCGGAGACGCACTTGACCGCCTCTCCAGGGGCCACTGAGCCCGGGAGAGCTCCCCTTGGACCCTCGGTCACTGCACAGAAGGGAAGGAGCAGTAACTAAAGGGCACTTGGGGGGGGGCAGAGAGACCTAGAGGACTGGGGGTGAGGATTGAGGCTGCTGCCACCAAAGGGCAGGAGAGGGGCTTGGAGGGACCCCGAGCAGGGCGGGCAGGGCTCAGGGGCAGGGGGGACCTAAGGAGTGAGAAGGGAACTGACTGAGGGGTGTCAAGGGGGTGAGCAATGGACCCAGGGGGCTGGAGGGGGACTGAAGAGCTAGTGGAAGTGGGTGGTGGCCGGGGGTTTGGGGAGGCCAGGCGCGCCCCTCCCCACCGGGACGGGAGATTTACGGGGCCAGTCTCTGCGTGTTTGCAGTCACAGCAAACCTGGCCTCTCGGTTCCGGTGACGGCTCAGAGACTCGCCGAGGCTGTGTTTGTGCGGAGGTCTGATTTATATTTAAACTGCTCTTTGCGCTACAGAAGGGGGAGGGTAACAAGGTGGAAGGATGGGGGCCGCCGCCTGGGCTGGGCCCGAACTCTGGACCTGAGCCAAGGTAAACTGCAGGCGCTGTCAAAGTGTCGGCCTTGCCGCGGAGGGAGGCCTGGAAAGGGGGCCTGAACACACCCCACTGACCTTCTTCTCTGGGTGGAAATAGAACAACGAATTTGTTCTCTCCCTCCCCCCCCCCCTCCCCTCAAGTTTCATCTACCGCCAGGATTCTGACAGCAGAAACGAGAAAGGAGCTGAGACTTCGGTAAGGAATCCACTTCTGGAGGGAATTCCCCCCCTCTCAGCTCCTTGCTTCTCTGCAATCCTCTGCAGAGTCAGCCCTAAGAAAAGACACCCCTCGATACCCAGGAAGCTTTGGCTAACACAAACCAACAGAGTGAGATTTTCAGCGTAAACATGGGGTTTCCTTGAGCTCACTTCTTGTTGTGTACCATCGAGCCAGAGCCGACCCGCGGGGGTTTGCAGAAACAGTTCAGGGAGAGCTGATTGTCCCATTTTCCTCCTATGGACCAGCTGGTGGAACCCAGCCAAGCACCTTTGCACTGGGAGTGCAATTCCTTACCGCTGACCTACTTCTGCATATTGCAAGGAGGGGATTAGTCCTTGGAGAGGGATATCATGCTTGGAAGGGTGGAGAGAAAGGACGAGAGAGGAAGACCCTCGATGAGATGGATTGACTCAGTGACTGGAGTAATAAGGGTGGGGGTGTTAGAGGTGTTAGACTCAGGATAGAGCAGGGTTCAGAGCTGTTGTACACGGGGTCACTAGTAGTCACAGGCGACTTGATGTCACCTAACAATAACAAGCCACCTTAGCATCCTGGTACTACCAATCTATAATGAACAATTTCATTTCTTTTTCTTTTTTTTTTTTACATTGACGATTCAGATATCTATCTCCCAGCCCCACCACGCCTCTTTTCAAATTTACAGTCCCTAATCGAGATGGAGTATCCGTAATTACCTTGCTTATCAGATAACCCCCTCTTGGCATCAGAACACATGGGCCATGCAAGCATCTTATTTCTACTCA